TTATAAAGATTACAACAGAAATAAATGACATAGAAACTAAAAAAAAAAAAAAAAAAAAAAAAAAAAAAAAAAAAAAAAAAAAAAAATAGATCAATGAAACCAGGAGCTGGTTCTTTGAAAATAAAATCAGTAAGATTGATAAACCTCTGGCCATACTTATCAACAAAAAAGAGAAAGGACTCAAATAAATAAAATCACAAAGAAGACAGGGGAAATAACCAACACCACAGAAATATAATCATAAGAGAATATTAAGAAAAACTATACGCCAAACTATATGCCAACAATTGGACAAACTAGAAGAAATGGATATAAATACCTAGAAACATATAACCTACCAAAACTGAAAGAAGAAATAGAATATCTGAACAGACTAATATCCAGCAACAAAAATGAATCCGTAATTAAAAAAAAATAAATAACAACAAACGAAAGCCCAGGGCCAGATGGCTTCACAGGCAAATGCTACTAAACATTTAAAGAAGATATATACTCTTCTCAAAATATTCCAAAAAAAACAGAAAAGGAAGGAAAAATTCCAAATTCATTCAATGAGGCCAGCATTACCAAAACCAGTTAAGGACACCATGAAAAAAAGAGAACTACAGACCAATATCTCTGATAAGCATAGATGAAAAATTCCTCAACAAAATACTAGCAAACCAAATCCAAATCCATTAATAAAATCCAAATCCATTAATAAAATCACTCACCATGACCAAGTGAGATTTATTCCTGGGCTGCAAGGGTGGTCCAATATTTGCAAATAAATCAGTGTGATACATCACATCAATAAGAGAAAGCGTAAGAACCATTATGACCATTTCAACAGACACAGAAAAAGCATTTGACAAAGTACATCCATTCATGATAAAACAAACCTCAACAAGGTAAGTTTAGAGGAAATATACCTCAACATAATAAAGGGCATATATGAAAAACCCACAGCTAACATCATCCTCAATGGGGAAAAACTGAGAGCTTTTCCCCTAAGGTCAGAAACAAAATAAGGATGTCCACTCTCACTACTTTCATTCAACACACTACTGGAAGTCCTAGCCACAGCAATCAGACAATACAAAGAAATAAAAGACATCCAAATTGGTAAGGAAGAAGTAACACTTTCACTATTTTCAGATGACATGATACGATATATAGAAAACCCTAAATATTCCACTAAAAAAAACTACTAGAACTGAAAAATGAATTAAGTAACATCACAGGATACAAAATCAATGTACAGAAATGTGTTGCATTTCTCTAGACTCGGATAATGAAGAAGCAGAAAGAGAAATTAAGAGGGCAATCCCATTTACAATTGCACCCAAAATAATAAGATGCCTAGGAATACATCTAACCAAAGAGGTGAAAGACCTCTATTCTGAAAACAATAAAACACTGATGAAAGAAATTGAAGATAAAACAAATGGAAAGACATTCCATGCTCATGAATTAGAAGAGTAAACACTGTTAAACTATCTATACTTCTCAAAGCAATCTACACATTTAATGCAACCTCCATCAAAATACCAACAGCATTTTTCACAGGGCTAGAATAAACAGTCCTAAAAACTGTACAGAACCACAAAAGACACTGAATAGCCAAAGAAATCTTGAAGAACCAAAGCTGGAGGCTTCGTTTCACAATTCTGGACTTCAAGTTATATTACAAAGTTGTAGTCATCAAAATAGTATGGTACTGGCACAAAAACAGAAACAAAGATCAATAGAACAGAACAGAAAACCCAGAAATAAACCCACAATTATCATCTTTGACAAAAGCAGAAAAGATCATCCAATGGAAAAAAAGACCATCTCTTCAACAGAAAGTGTTGGGAAAAACTGGACAGCTACATGCAAAAGAATGAACCTGGACCACATTCTTATACCATACACAAAATAAATTCAAACTGGATCTAATTCCTAAATGTGAGACCCGAAACCATACAAATCCTAGAAGAGAACACAGGCAATAACTTCTTTGACATCAGTTGTAGCAACATTTTTCTAGATACATCTTCTGAGTCAAGGGAACCAAAGTAAATATAAACTATTGTAACGAAATCAAAATAAAAAGCTGCTACACAGCAAAGGAAACAAGCAACAAAACTAAAAGACAACCTACAGAATGGGAGAAGATATTTACAAATGATATATCTGATAAAGGGTTAGTGTCAAAAACATATAAAGAACTTATAAAATTCAAGGATCAAAAAACAAATACTCCAATTAAAAATGGGCAGAAGACATGAATAGACATTTTTTCCAAAGAAGACATCCAGATGGTCAACATATACGTGAAAAGATTTTCATCATCACTCATCATCAGGGAAATGCAAATCAAAACTACAGTGAGATATCACCTCTCACCTGTCAGAATGGCTAAAATCAACAACACAAGAAACAAAAGATGTTGATGAGGATGTGGAGAAAAAGGAGCACTCATGCACTGTTAGTGGAAAGGCAAACTGGTACAGCCACTGTGGAAAACAATATGGAGGTTACTCAGAAAGTTAAAAATAGAACTACTCTATGATCCAGCAATCTTGCTACTGGGTATCTATCTAAAGAATACAAAAACACTAATTCAACTGGATATATGCACCCCTATGTGTATAGCAGCATTATTTACAATAGCCCAATTATGGAAGTAACCCAAGTGTCCATCAATTGCTGAATGGGTAAAAGAAGAAGTGAGACTAGAAAGATAGATGATAGACAGATATAGAGATACCTACATAAAGACAAAGTGATATATATATATATATATATATATATATACACACACACATATATATATACACACACACATACACACACATATATACATTGGAATGTTATTCAGCCATAAAAAAGAATGAAATATTGCCATTTACAATAATATGGATGGAGCTGGAGAGTACAACCTTAAGCAGAATAAATCAGAGAAAGCTAAATACCATATGATTTCACTTATATGTGGAATTTAAGAAACAAAAGAGCAAAAGGGAAAAAAGAAACGAGAGACAAACCAAGAAAAAGACTTCATTACAGAGAACAAACTGATGCTTACCAGAGGGGAGGTTGGTGGGAAGATAGATTAACAGGTGATGGAATGCATTTGTCAGGATGAGTATCTGATGATGTATGGAATTGCTGAATCACTATATTGTACACCTGGAACTAATATAACACTGTATATTAAGTAACTGGATTAAACGTAAAAACTAAAAAAAAACATAAAGAACAATTAAATTAAGCCCCTGTCTTACACCACTCACAAAAATTAACTTGAAATGGACCACTGATTTTAACACAGACCCTGATACCATATAACTCCTGGAAAAAACTGTAGGGAAGAAGCTCCTCAGTGTTGGTCTTGGCATTGATTTTTCTAGACACGACACCAGAAGCACAAACAACAAAAACCAAAACCAACAAGTTGCACTACATCAAACCTAAAGGTTTCCCCACATCAACCGAAAAAATTTTAAAAAGGAAAAGACCACCCATGGAATGGGAAAAACTTTTTGCAAACCATATATTAGATAATGCGTTAATATCTAAAATATATGAAGAACTCTTACAACTCCATAACAAAGAAGAATCTGATTGCAAAATTGGCAGAGGAACTGAATAGAAATTTTTCCAAAGACATCCAAGTGGCCAACAGACACATGAAAGAATGGTCAGCAACACTAATCATCAAGAGAAATGCAATCAAAACCACAATGAGATATCAAGTCACACCTGCCAGAATGGCTCTCATCAAGAACACAAGAGGTAAGTTTTGGCAAGGATACAGAGAAAAGGGAACCGTTGTATACTGTTAGCAGAAATGTAAATTGGCTCAACCACTATGGAAAACAACCTGAAGGTTCATCAAAAAGTCGGCACAGGGGCGCCTGGGTGGCGCAGTCGGTTGAGCGTCCGACTTCAGCCAGGTCACGATCTCGCGGTCCGGGAGTTCGAACCCCGCGTCGGGCTCTGGGCTGATGGCTCGGAGCCTGGAGCCTGTTTCCAATTCTGTGTCTCCCTCTCTCTCTGCCCCTCCCCCGTTCATGCTCTGTCTCTCTCTGTCCCAAAAATAAATAAACGTTGAAAAAAAAATTAAAAAAAAAAGTTGGCACATATTCTAGGTATATATCCAAAGGAAATGATAACAAGATATCAATAAATACATATACTCTCATATTTACTGCATCATTATTCACAGTAGCCAAGATATGGAAACAATCTAACTGCCCACACCAATGGATGAATGGATAAAGAACATGTGAGATACACACACACACACACACACACACACACGCACACACTGCAACAGTATTTGACCATGAGAAAGGACATCTTTCCATTTGCAACATCATAGATGGACCTTGAGCATATTATGCTGAATGAATAAGTCTGACAGAAGACAAGCACTGTATGGCATCATTTATATGTGGAATCTAACATAGCCAAACTTATAACAGAAAGTAAAATGGCAGTTACCAGGGAATTGCCGGGGAGAGGGGGAAGGACGGGGTTGGACAGGTGTTCAAAGGTACAAACTTTCAACACATAGTAAATAAGCCCTAGAAATCTAATGTATATTATAGTGAACATAGACAATAATATTGTATGATAATCATGAAGCTTGCTAAGAGACCACATCTTAATGATTCTAACCACAAGAAAGGATCATTATGTAATGCGATAGAGGTTCTAATTATTGCTATAATGGCAGTTATATTACTATATACAAATCCATCAAATTTACATGTTATACACTTTAAATTTGTACAATGTTATATGCCAAACATATTTTAATAAAAAATTTTTAAATAAAATAGCTAATCACAAGATCTTTCTAAAACTACGATAGGCTAAAAGAAGGGGGAGGGAAGATGGAGTTTCCCTATTAATTAAAAGGAACTTCATTGTTTACGACACAGATTCCATCCAGTGCAGAAGCTTGGGGGTTGGTGAAGAAGGAAAAGCCCAATATCTACTGATATTTTTTTCTTTGTCTCTTTCAGTGGACAGTTCTGGAAAAATCAGTAAGTTTGGGTCATTTCTTTGCTTTACCTATTTCTGTGTCCAGAACCTTTGAGTTTTTGTTACTCAATTGTTTTGCATTTCAAGTTCTTTTACCTTAGAAGAGTCAATATTTTAAATAAGTGATTTTCTCATACTTTGATTTCCCCTTTTCTATCTCCCTTTTGGAACAAAATACAATGGTCTTGTATTATATCTTGGTTATTTACTACCAAAGATTATTAGGAGCATATATTCCCAGCTAGTTTACCACAAGGCATCTGTTTTCTTTGTGGTATCATCTGGCAATGGATAATTTTTACTAAAAAAAAGAAATTCACCTAAAATTGACATATAAAGAATAAATGTCAGGACAAGATGGTGATTTTGATAAATAACCAACAATACACATTTATTTTCAAACTGATCTAAAAGAGAGTGGGTTAAAAAATGATTTGTGACAGAACAATGAAAGTAGGAAATGCAATCACTTGAATTTTGATAAAATAGATATTCCCTAAGTATTCAATGAATACTCTGTGAAGTAGGATGTGGAGCCTTTGCACTCCTGAGGGTTAAACAGAGGGATATTTTACAATGCCTGAAGGTCCTGCTTCTGCATTCACCTATATAGGGTATTCTTGCAAGTAGGGTTTTCCTTGAGTTAGAAAATTCACACTGATTGATTAATCTTTTGTGTTTTATTTTTTAGCACTAACTCCTATGGGTAAGTTCTTTATTCTCAACTGTGAAATTTTACATCGTTTATAGGTATTTTCTGTAATTGCTGTTTCTACTCCCAAAATAGAGACTTGTGTTTCTAAGGTTATTTTAAATGTTCCCATCCTCGAGAATCTTCCAATATTTTAAATTACTACTTTTAGAGATACTGCTGCAGAGGAGATGAAGTTCATAGAAAAGGATGCCATAATCTCTGGCCATCTTCTAGGCTCTGAAAAACAATCTCCTTTCTGACTCCCAGCAAAATATAGTGAAAGAAAGACTGGTTCCTAAATTCTGTTGAGTTCTTTGCTGGTAACTGAGAACTCTTTTTTAGTTATAAGTGAAGGCTCACTGAATCATACTAATAGAAAAAGTAGTTAAGAACAAAACTTTATTTTTTCTTGGCTTCTAAGTAACTTTACTTTTGAGGAATAGTAGGCATTGAGCACCTACTATATACTGTATACTCTGCTAGGCATTTTCAAAAACAGTATCTCATTTTTACCATAGCCTGCCTGGTAGCTATTGTTATTCCCCACTTTACAGATCAGTAAATTGGCTCAGACACTTGACCAAGATTAAGGAGTTGGTAAGAAGCAGTGTCAGGATCTAAATCTAGGACTTCCCATCTCCAAAGTACATACTCTTCCCACACCAACACATTGCCTTCTTTACTGAACCACAAATGCCTTTTTGGTGATTAGTCCTGAAACCATATCTATAAATAAAATGTTTGTTAATATAAAGGTACTTCCACTAGTGAAGCTATATAATTAAATGTACACAGAAGAATAATTTAAAAACAAAAGACATCCCATTTAAATCAATGTTGGGCTTTTAACTGTCTTCTAAATTCAGATTTCTTATTAGGATTGTGTAATGCCTCAGCTCTTCAAGACAATCATATGAAACAGAATAATAATTCTTAAAACTCTGTAAATATACAATCATAAGAAGCAAGTAAAACTTAAATTTAATAAGATACAGTTCAAGAATCTCAACACTGTAAATACCGACAAACACAAAATATGCCTTTATATTTAGTCTTTCTTTTTCAGTTCACACTAGAAGGAGAGTGGGTTTGTGAGTGGCAGTGGGGAGTTGGAGGAGGTGAAGTTAAAAGGGACAATTGTTTTCTTTGGATTTATAGTACAAGAAACAATATGCATTCAAGCAATCATGACATATCTACATCCTTCATATGCCCTCCCCACATGGGGAAGGTGATAAGTGTATGTTTTCCTTACAAAACGAAAGAGGGCTTTGAGAAGGGATCATAGGCCAAGTCCCTCCCTGGAGGTGAATTCATTTTTAATGAATATGCTTTTTTTTTAATTGCCAGAACAAAAATCAGTTCAATCTTTTAAAATGCTTTCTTGTAAAAGATATATCCTTGTTGACAATATTTCAAACATATTCTTCTCAATTGATATTTTTAGCAAAAAGTGATTAAGGTTTAATTCATTGTTCAAAAAAGATTTAAGACAGAACAGTGCATCAAACTTCACCACCCTCTCAAGTTAAGTCTCTTTATTTCTCACCTCCACAATCAGCTAATTAAGTATATGATTTTTTTTTTAATGCTAATTCATGGCCTGAGATCTATAATGAGTCATCTTCTTAGTGCTGAACAGATCTTTATGGTCTAGACAGCTCCCTGACAGCCAGTGGATTAAGAACCTAATAGGATTAGTTTTGTTGTTTCCTTTGTTGTACAGAAGCTTTTGATCTTGAGTTTAAATAAAAATAATAATAAATAAACATTAGGAAAATAAAAATAAAAAAATTTAATGTTTATTTATTTTTAAGAGAGAGAAAGACAGAGTGTGAGTGGGGGAGGGGCAGAGACAGAGGGAGACACACAATCTGATGCAGGCTCCAGGCCCTGAGCTGTCAGCACGGAGCCCGACACGGGGCTTGAACCCACAAACCGTGAGATCATGACCTGAGCTGAAGTTGGATGCTTAACCGACTGAGCCACCCAGGCGCCCCTAAAATAAAAGTTTTTTAAAAGAACCCAATAGGATTAGTTTCCTAATAAAGCCCATAGTCTAGTTGCTGCATTATTTTAAGTATTGCATAATTAGAATTATTACTATGATCGCTAATTCATCTTTCAGCTTTAACAAAAATTAATCCAGTTTAAAATCTTTAAGCAGCCTGAATACAATACAATGACCTCCAAGGTCTTGATTAAATCTTTCCCTTAAAATTAGAATTTTGCTGTACAGGTTACTATCTGCAATAAATGGACTTTGAGCCAGGACTTACAAATATTTATACTATGGAGATTATGAGATCCAAAGGGAAAAAAAGATGTATGCACTATCTAAAAATTTAAAAGAAGGGAGAGAAGAACTTAGAATTTGGTGGACTAATGATTTGTGGCTTACTTCTGCAATGCTATTAAGTTCAAGATGGAAAATATACAGCAAAAACACTAAACCAAAGATATGAAGATACTATTAGAAATGACTAGAAGTACTTTTCAGTTTAGTGGGAAAAAGAATAAAATTCTTTAAAATCCTGTAAAATTAGGAAAAGTGTAGCTAGAATAGACATTGATTGTTTCATCAAACCCTAGAATATTTGCCTTTGATTAACAAAATCCATACAATTTAGGAGATAAAGTTTGCTTAAAATGAGTCTTGCAGTAATATACACAGTACGAAACGTGAAACAAATACTCCCAAGAGATGGTATAAAACTAAAAATATTCCCATATTTGAAAACACCCAGCTTGTTTAGGAGTACATTCCACAGAATTTGTCAGGTTGGAAGCATCAGTGGAAACACATACTCTTCTCCACACCACACACCACACACCACACCTCCCCCCTCAAAAATAAGTAGCCACTGGTGGTACTGTCAGGTATCAGAATATTTTGAACTCTTTCTCAGTACAAAAGTGCTTAGGATATATTACCACTGATTTTCATTAGTAAATTGGAAATGAGTTTGTCTAGAATAAAATGTCGGTACCCATAGCTTATTAAATAAGCACTAGGGAGGAAAAAATACACAAAAGGTTCAGAAAGCATTATTGCAAGATTCTTACTGTTTTATTTTGGTGCCAGAAGTTGAAAATATCAAACAGAAAGCACTAAACTGCAGCATCCCGTCAGATTTATAGTTACCTTATTACCTAATGTAGGAATGTCTCACTTTTTACAACTTGTTATTCAGTTGTGTGTGGATCAGTATTTCAGACGTCAAACCCTAAACATACCAAAAGGCTTTCTCTGTTAAAAAAAAAAAAAAAAGACAATTTTTAAGTAAGAAATCTTCCGGTAATGCAATTTACATTCCACTAAAGTATTTGGTTGGAACTAAGAATGCCTTATCTTGATAGATCAGAGAGAGTTTTTGCCTGTATTATCTCATTTGGTAGTAGTAACAGCCAATACTTACTGCACTACCCACCATGTTCCATGCACTGTACTGGGTGCTTTATTTAGATAATATTATTTAATCCTCATAACACTTCGGTGAAGTAGCTACTACTATTGCTCCCATTTTGCAGATAAGAAAGTAAAGTTTGCCCAAGTTAGTTAGGTATGAAGCCAGGATTTGAAGCAGTCTGTCTGTAAAAGCCATGCTCCTTAAACATTTGTCCAGAATCTTTAAATTACTCTACAAAGTGGGCAGAGCAGTAAGTCTTTAGGGAGTAACTGATTACGTTAGGGAGTAGCCCAAATAAACCCAGCTGGCAAGAATACTAAACCCAAGTGTTCTGATTCAGCTTTTAAATTCAGTATCCTTTCTACTGCATTAAATATTTAAATAGGTTTTCTTAAGGCAAGGCATCCCATTGCTTCACAGCAAGAACCCACAGAATTCTTCTTAGTAGCATAGATAATTTTTTTTTCTTAATCCGGGGAACCAAATCACTAAAAAAAAGAAGAAGAAAAAAAAAAAAGCAGAAGCTAACAAATTCAAGTTCATTAGATCTCACAGAAATTGAGAAACAGCAGAGCTAACTTACCTATACTTGGAAAAAGGGACCAGAAACTCGTGAGTTTGCAGGTGTCATAAGAAGCAGTCTAAAGTATCGGTTAAGACTGAACTCTGGAGTCTGACTCTTCAGGCTCAAATCCCAGCTCCACCACTTACTAACTCTATGACCATATTCACATTCATTTAAGCTTTTTGTACCTCAAGTTTCTTCATCTGTAAAATGGGGATAATAAAATGCCCTATATGGTTGTTGTGAGGATTAAATGAGTTAATAGTTCATATAAAATGCTCAGAACACTGAGTGCCTGAAGTACGGTGAGCACCCAATAATTATCAGCTAGTACTATTATTACTTTTGAATAATGAGATATCCTTATACTCAATATGCAACGCATATTTAGAGGGTTTTTTCTATTTTAAGAAGCAATTATTGCTTATTTCCAAACTTTTTTCTACAAATAAATTCCATTTCTTTTCAGAATACATTCTCCTCTAGCTATTAAGCATTAATCATTAGCCATAATATACTGAACAAATGCCAGCCAGTTCATTTATAGTACATTTGAGCTCTTCTTTGATTAATATTCCAGTTTATTGAAGAGAGTCTGGAATATTACCAATACTTACACAATTTTAAGTGCAGAGTTCCACCATTTTCTACTTTCAGGAAATCTCAAGTTATCTCCGGTTTGTCACCTTTAAGACAAAAAATAAAGAAACGAATATCAGGGGGAAAGTAGGAATAAAGAGAAAGTACCTGAAATGTGCACTTTTGTTGTGTGCTCAGTTATATTTCCAGGTCACACGGATGCACAAGTTGCAAAAAAGTCAGATTTCAAGGCCCATATTCTAAAAAATGAAGACACTACAAAGACTGAGAACAGCCAAGAAGAAAACAAGAAAACATTAAAGAAAATCTTATTTACAGATTCTGATGAATCCTTGACCTTAAGGCACAAAACAGAGTCAAAAAGCAAAGCAAAAGGCATTGAGTTGGAGGACGGTGAGATAGGTATGGAGGTTGAGAAAAAGGAAAGTGACACCAGGATGCTGGGAGAAGAAGACCAAATAAAGGGGCGTGACACAGGAATACCAATAGAAGAGGAAGCCCAAGTAAAGAGAAGTGAATCCAGAATACCACAAGAACAGGAAGCCCAAGTAAAGATGAATGACACTGGGACACCACAGGGACAGGGGTTTCAAATAAAGCAGAGTGAGTTAAGAACACAAGAAGGACAGGGATCTCAAGTAGAGAAGAGTGAGTCCAAAATACCACAAGCGCAGGAGTCTCAAGTAGAGAAGAGTGAGTCTGAAATACCACAAACACAGGGCTCCCAAATAGAGAAGAGTGACACCAGAATACCACAAAGACAGGAGTCCCAAGTAAAGAAGAGTGAGTCTAGAATGCCACAAGCACAAGGGTCCCAAGTAAAAAAAGAGAGTTCTGAGAATAAAGGAAAGCAGGACAAAAACAAAGGAGATGCAAGGAAGAAGAAAGATACAGGAGAAAATGATACTATGAAGAAAAGTGATGAAGGAAAGCACAAAGTTAAAGGAAAGAAAGAATTAGAAGTCAAGAGTAAAAAAACAGAAGGTTCAGTAAGGGGCAAAGTCAACTGATTACTATGATTCCCATCCTCCAAATACAAGTCATAACCCAGTTATTGCCTAAATGGATCATAATTACAGAATCCCTTTAATTTATACATCCACAGAGTGTCTACTGTAGTTCTTTCACCATTTTTAGTCCTCTCAGCCACAAATCTCAGCTTCCAATTGTTTGTTTTCTAAGTTGATAATTATGACTTAATCAAGAAAGACTGGATACTTTCTGAAATAAACATTTTGACTAAAGAAATGTATAATTTTCTTTGACAACTATTACATTAATTCAGCCTAACCAATCAACCAACCAGGGCTTCTCATAAAACATTTTTTTAAATTTTTTTTATTAACATTTATTTATTTTTGAGACAGAGAGAGACAGAGCATGAACAGGGGAGGGGCAGAGAGAGAGGGAGACACAGAATGTGAAACGGGCTCCAGGCTCTGAGCTGTCAGCACAGAGCCCGACGCGGGGCTCGAACTCACGGACTGTGAGATCATGACCTGAGCCGAAGTCGGACGCCCAACCGACTGAGCCACCCAGGCGCCCCAACACATTTTGATTAAAGAAATGTATAATCTCCTTTGACAACTACTACATTAACTTAGTGATAGACTAACCAATCAATGCTCCTGATGGTAGGCTGAATGTTCATGAGCACTCTTCCAGCAGTAATGGGTACATAAAAATATAAGTCAAGCTCCTTTGCAATCAAGTAGGGTTTAACACACACAGTGATACAATATATGTATACATGACAATTTTTTAAAAGTAAAATCTGAGTGTCGAAATGTAGTTTAGATGCATAGTATAATACAAATTAGCAACCTGTAGGAATGAGAAAATTAAGGGGATAACAGCTTCATGGAGAAAGGAATGGTGGTATATATGTCTCAAAAGATGGATAAGATGTTGCTACACTGAGTGAGGTAGGAAGAGTACAAAAAAAGGCAAAGGAATTCAAAACTGCCACACCACACTCTAGGAGAAGTAGGCAATTATGTGACGTAGGCTCATGAGAAGCATTCTAGAGTACTATTTTGAAAAGGAGGGTTAGAGAAGATACTGAAGAATATGCAAAACAAACCAGGAATTTATATTTTACTCATCAGGCAACTGGAAGCCTTCTGGGGTATTTGAGAAGTACAGTTAGGTGAATAAGGTTGCATTACCAATGTGTTAATCTTGTGATTGCACAAAATACACTGAAGAGGAGCAATGCCATAGGTAGCAAATCTAGTAAAGAGGTGTTTGGAGTAATAAGTGATGGAAACAGAATAAATAGAAGGGGTAGATATGAACTGTTTTTTCAAAGAAGAAATCATTACCTCATGATGACTAACCAAATATGAGCAAGGAAAAGAAATAAAAACAACTGATGACTCCCTAACTCTTGAAACTGGACGAGAGAAAATCAATAACTAGGACCTAGTGTGTGGCACAGGGAGGGAAAAACAAATTGCTGAGTTTAAGGGAACAAAGTAACACTTGTCATTTGATAGGGGGTCTGAAGTCAATCCAGTAGAGATAATTTGAAGCCACAGAGTAAATGAGTTCCCCAAAAAAGAAAGTACAAAGCTAGCAAAAGCACAGGTCCAAGAACTGGGCCTGTTAGATATAATAGGTTGAAGAAAAAAATTAAGGTACGGGAAGATGTAAGGAATACCTGTAGAACAAATGTTCTGATAATTAAAGAAGATGAGAATTTAGAGAAAGGGTGTTTAAAGGATAGCCAAGATTTCAAGGAGAGGAAGGACAGAAAAAGACCACTGTGGCTGCTACCTGGAGGTGACTGATGAACTTCCAAAGAGAGGCAACCAGGGGAAGGAATGGAAGAAGGCAGAAAATAGAAACACAAGCAAGTAGCTGCAGGATATGCCTTTCAATAAAACCAATTTTAGTCTGCTTTTTAAGTATTGTTTTTAGGAATTTCATCTTTATAGCACTCTATTCTGTGCTAGTTGGCCCATAGTCTGAATATTACATTGAGTTCTGTCAGAGGATGTGGATCAAGTACAGGGCCTTCAGGAGAGAAGGGCTATGATGCAAAGGGATTCAAATCCTTTCAAGTGAGCAGTTTTACCTAGTGCAGAAAACACAGAAGAACACAATGAGAATTATCTTCATATACTAGGTTATGATTATAGATTAGATGAGAATTTTTGTATGGCTCCCAAGAAAATAAGGAAATAAGAATAGAAGAAATAAGAAATTAAGGAAATAAGAAAATAAGGAAAATAAGAGTAGAAGGATCCAAGTAACAGATCTGTATCTCAGTATAAGAGCAAGTGGGATGCCTAAAAGTGCTGGAGGGAGAGCTTAAGATTGCAATAATCACTGGGTGGAAATGCTGCAGAGGAGATTTTTAGGAATCAGCTGGGTAGTTGGAGCAGGTAATCTTTATGGTTCCTTTAAAATATAAGCCCATAATTCAAAGTATAAAATTCTTTTGGACTAACTAGATGTCTTCCAATGAACCTTTCACACTAATCTAATATGCTAGGATTCTTTAAAGAGGTTTCCTCCTCTCTCTCTCTCTCTCTCTCTCTCTCTCTCTCTCTCACACACACACACACACACACACACACACACACAAAGAGAAATCAGACTTTAGTCCCTGCTGCCCAAAGTATAAAACATTTCATAAATATACCTAACCACAAGCTAAAGAAAGCAGTTCCATAACTTCTAGCACAATCCAAACCACTACATGGATCTCTACTGTGTGCCCAGAGTCCTGCCACAGGTCTAGAAGCCTAAGTCAATTTTAGAAGTCACATAACCCTGAGGCCTTTGATGGACCACATAGATTTAGCAAAACTGAACTGAAAAAAAAAAGGAGGGGAGAGACGGGAGGACAAATATGAACATGAGATTTTTATATTGTAAATTACTTCTATGTCTCTGGAATATACACATTACAGATTTTATCAGTATTAGTTGACATATCTCTTACATATATTATACTGTTACCAGGGGAAAATGTGACCAGAAGGCTTTTCATATAATTGAAAATATTTAGGTTTTCATGATCCTATATAATTTTCTACAGCTCTCTCTGGTCCATCTGGCAGCAAGCTATTAGGTTTTAGAGCTATAACAAAAGCAGCTTTTCTCAGATTTCTGCTAAAAAGCACAGATCCTATCAAGGCAACTACTGAAAAGCAGTAAGACTTTAGCGAACATGCTTAGCTGACTGCATATCTGAATGTATACCCCACTGAACAAAGGATTCAGAAGACATGGATCCATTGAATCCTCCCTGTATCTTCTCCATAACATCTAACTTGCAGTCAAAACATTTTCATTCCCACCAAGTCTTGAAGGCAAATAAGTCACATAATAGGAAACACCAACTATGATAACCATATATGCTATTCTCTAAAGGCCACCAAAAAGCAGGCCAGTTAAAAACAATTGCTAAATTTCCCTTAAAGAAACAGGCATGGAAATCTTAAAGGATCCCAGAAAAAGGAAGGGGAGCTATCAAAACAATACCATGTTTACCAAAATAATGCAAATACTAGGAAAATGAATAAACATATGCAATTTTCAGAAATTTGAATATAAAGATAGTCAAGTGGGACTTAAAAAAATCAACAGTAAATTTTGTTTCACACATAAGCTAATATAAACATCACCTCCCCTGTTCACAGATGCCCTGTTTAGATCTTAAAAGTTCTCATCACAAGGAAAAAATCTTTAACTATCTGAGATGACAGATGTTAACTAAACTTATTCTTGTGATCATTTCACAATATGTACATATATCATTAGGTTGTACACCTTAAACGTACATAATGTTGTATGACAGTTACATCTCCACAAAACTGGGGGGAGGGCAAAGGAATCAAGTCTTACACCTCAAATATGTGCAGTTTTTATTGTAAGTTTTACCTGAATAAAGACAGAAAGAAAAAAGAATGAATGGAAGTCTTACCATAAGTCATTTTATGTGTGGGAAAAAGCATATGAAAAGCAGGAAAATGAATTTAGAGATAACAAAGCTGAATAAGAAATGCCAAGATAGGGGTGCCTGGGTGGCTGAGTCCACTGGGTGTCCAACTCTTGATTTCGGCTCATGTTCGTGGGAGCAAGCCTTTGGTTAGGCTCTGCACTAACAACATGGAGCCTGCCTAGGAGTCTCTCTCCCTCTCTCTCTCCCCCACTCCCCTGCTCACACATGCTCTCTCTCAAAATAAAACAAACATTTTAAAACACCATAAAACTAGTCATAATTATATTTAATTACACTTAAATACATTTAATTATATTTATTTTGACCTATTCATATATTTACTAATCTATTTGCTTACTATTTCTCCTTGTATCTTAATCCTTGCTTTGTGGATTGATTTCCTTCTTCTAGACATGCATCCTTTATGTTTTTTATCCAGGTCTATGAATAATAAACTCCTTGGACTTTTTATGAAAAATTTTTCAACTTCACTTTCATTATCAAATAATATCTTTGCTGACTAAGGAATTCTGGGTTGGCAATTTATTTTCTCTAAGCTAATTGAAGTTACTATCCATTGTCTTTTGGCCTTTGTTTTTGCTCTTTACAAGTCCTCTAAATACCCAGTTTGGAAGTTACTTTGGCATTTTCTGACTGCTTACACTTAGAATTTTCTCTTTGTTTCGGTGTTCCAGTTTCACTACTATGTATGTAGTACATTCTCATTATTCCTGCTTTGAAATTACTCATCTGAAACCTTCAGAGTCATGTCTTTTATCAATTTTGAAAAATTCTTGGACATCATCTCTTTGAACTTTTGTTTTCCTCCATGCTTTCTACATTCTCCTTCTGGAACCCATATTAAATTGATTTTGGACCTTCTCATTCAAATCTCTTTCTGTTAACCTTGCTCTCATATTTCAAAACTCTCTCCGTAATGAAATATAGGTCCTTTCCTCAGGTCTGCCTTCCAGTTCATTATTTTTCTCTTCAGTATCTATGTTCTGAACAGCTCATTGAGTTTTTAGTCACTTAGTAACATTTATCATTTCTAGAAGTCCCATTTAATCCTCCTAATGGTTTATCCGTGTGTGTGTCTTGGACTTTTTTATGGTTTTTATTCTCTTAATTCTCTTCATGATTGTGCTATAGTAAATATTGGTAAACTTTTTCTGTAAATGGTTAGATAATAAATAATTTTCAGCTTTGCAAGCCGTACACTATCTCAACTACTAAACTCTATAGTTATAATGCAAACGTAGCTATAGGTAACATATAAACCACTGGGCATGGCTGGATTTTGCCT